TCAGATGGGTTAGCTTTCCAACGCATTTTGAATCGCCTCAATCGAATATCGGAATACAAAGTTATGATAAAAACACTGAAAGAAGGTGCAGCTGCCTGTTTAAAACAAGAAATTCCGTTACATAATCCGTTAAAACAATAAATTCCGTTAGTTTTTCCGTTAAACCAACAAATTCCGTTAGATGGGCACTTTTTATATATAGAAAGATATAGTCAATATGTTGAAAACAGTGATGCAATATTGCTGGTTGTAATTCCTGCTTCCCGGGCACCAAAAGTTGCCACATGTAAAGCTATCAAAATTTCTAAGGGGCTTGATGGAAACCCTTGCTCAACAGATCCAAAATCATATGACACTTGGGCTTTCCAATCTCCTCTCCGGGTGTATTACGTCCTCCAACTACTTGTGTTATGTATTATTTCATCTCACTTTTCCATAGTACATAAATCTATTGTTCATATATTTTTATACAAACAATTTGGGATCTTTTCACTTCGTATCTTGTTCAAAAAATGCAATTATCAACCATATTATAAATCTTATGAGTTTACTCCTTGGAGAAAAAATTCATTTTCGAATCTTGCAACTATTGTCATTTCTTATAGTACTTATAGTAACCAAATAATTGTTTACTCTTATCCTCAAAGATTCTTGTTCTTTTATTATTTTCTTTTCCAAGTTTAAAGATTCTTGTTCTTTTATTATTATTTTTTGCAAGTTTACTTTCCTATTCATAAGTAGCTTATCATTTTCCAAACTCTACTTCTTGAATTTAACAAAAAATATTTCACAGGCAATTCAATGGCATTTCTTTGGATGAAATTTTTGCATGTCAGGTGACATATATAACTATGGATACATGACTCAATCCATTTGGAACGCTAACGATACCATCAATAGTACGGCCAAAAACTAGTATATTCAAAATGCTTGATCAAATATTAAACCATTGTTTGACAATCATTATTTGAAATTTTTTTTCTACATATTCATTTTTAATCATACATTCACACAATAAAATATTATGCACTTAAATCAAAAAGAATTCCTTACTTTTTAATCACACATTTAACAATCACTATTCAAAACATTTTTTTTTCAAAAACAATATTAGTCAAACAGGGGCTAAGATACGACTAAGACAAACATCAAGCAATTTGAAGTTCTTTTGAATTGATGTCATTTGTAATATTGTTTGATGCAGAGGAAGACGCAGATGCAGTGTTTTGATCATTAGTTTCTTCATTATTATCTTTAAAATAGTTTGACATATTGCTATCAACTTCCACCTATACTAAATCAATTTGATAGAAAGGACATAATTGAATGATGTAAAAAAAAACATTAATCTTACCACTGTAGACACAATGCTACAGGCTAGATTGACGCTTCACCAAAGCCTATATTCAAAATGCTTGATCAAATATTAAACCCCTATTTGACAATCATTATTTGAAATTTTTTTTTCTACATACTCATTTTTAACCATACATTCACATAACAAAATATTCTGCACTAAAATAAAAAAAATTCCTTACTTTTTAATCGCACATTTAACAATCACTATTTAAAACATTTTTTTAAAAAAACAATATTAGTCAAACAGGGGCTAAGATGCGATTAAGACAAACATGTGGCTATTCTAATTGCCTCGATGACATCCAAATATCATATGAATAATCCACAAGTCCAAATGCTTGTCATGGAAGCCAACGAAATTGTCCAGCCATCTCGCGACTACAAGTTTAAAGATTCTTGTTCTTTTATTATTATTTTTTGCAAGTTTACTTTCCTATTCATAAGTAGCTTATCATTTTCCAAACTCTACTTCTTGAATTTAACAAAAAATATTTCACAGGCAATTCAATGGCATTTCTTTGGATGAAATTTTTGCATGTCAGGTGACATATATAACTATGGATACATGACTCAACTCATTTGGAACGCTAACGATACCATCAATATAACCAAACTCGTACATCGTACGGCCAAAAACTAGTATATTCAAAATGCTTGATCAAATATTAAACCATTGTTTGACAATCATTATTTGAAAATTTTTTTTCTACATATTCATTTTTAATCATACATTCACACAATAAAATATTATGCACTTAAATCAAAAAAAATTCCTTACTTTTTAATCACACATTTAACAATCACTATTCAAAACATTTTTTTTTCAAAAACAATATTAGTCAAACATGGGCTAAGATACGACTAAGACAAACATCAAGCAATTTGAAGTTCTTTTGAATTGATGTCATTTGTAATATTGTTTGATGCAGAGGAAGACGCAGATGCAATGTTTTGATCATTAATTTCTTCATTATTATCTTTAAAATAGTTTGACATATTGCTATTAACTTCCACCTATACTAAATCAATTTGATAGAAAGGACATAATTGAATGATGTAAAAAAAAAATGTTAATCTTACCACTGTAGATACAATGCTACAGGCTAGAGTGACACTTCACCAAAGCCTATATTCAAAATGCTTGATCAAATATTAAACCCCTATTTGACAATCATTATTTGAAATTTTTTTTTTCTACATACTCATTTTTAACCATACATTCACACATTAAAATATTCTGCACTAAAATTAAAAAAAAAATTCCTTACTTTTTAATCACACATTTAACAATCACTATTCAAAACATTTTTTTACAAGAACAATATTAGTCAAACATGGGCTAAGATGCGATTAAGACAAACATGTGGCTATTCTAATTGCCACGATGACATCCAAATATCATATGAACAATCTACAAGTCCAAATGCTTGTCATGGAAGCCAAAGAAATTGTCCAGCCATCTCGCGACTCCTGTAGCCAACCCCTAAATTCGGTGCAAAAAATAAAATAAAATAAAATTATTAACATTAATTACTGCTTGCTTTCATTCGAATAAATCAATTGACGTAACAACATAATTAACAAATTTGACATTATCGTGAGATGAAAACATTTTATACATTGATTTTGATAACAATTTAAACAATTAATTATACAGATTTTGTCATATCTTCAAGAGTAGTGTTCAACAAGTTAAATTCAATAACTATTTTGCTTTTGAATCCCTTAAACTGCACAAAAAGTAGAGATTGCATAACCCCACCTCCAGCTCCTACCACTTTAATTTGGCGGGAGAACTTCAAAAATCACAAATTAGTGGGAAAAAACCCAAGAAACCCTAAATTTTATATACCCATTTCCATGCCTATAAATATTCTTCAATACCTAACTGTCCACCCTGTGGAAAAGAAGATTTTTTTCTTGATTTTTACTTGTACCCACAACCTGTTAGATAAAATTTCTCACCGAGAAAAATCCAATTTTTAGGAGAGGAAAATGTATGTGGTGAAGAGAGATGGGAGACAGGAGGCGGTGCATTTTGACAAGATAACCGCGCGGTTGAAGAAGCTGAGCTATGGGCTGATCAGTGAACACTGTGATCCGGCGCTGGTGGCGCAGAAGGTCTGCGCGGGGGTCTACAAGGGGGTCACTACCAGCCAACTTGATGAATTGGCTGCCGAGACTGCTGCTGCTATGACGGCTAATCATCCTGACTATGCTTCCGTATGTTCCCCATTCCTGACATTCTGAGTACTTGCCTATTTCTGTTATGTAATGATTTTGATTACGGGTCCGTTTTAATTTTCTTGGTATTTATGAATTTTTTGTGTATTATTTTAAAAATTGTGTTTTATTTTTTGCATTCTATATTACGGCAAATTGATTAAGTTATTGTGTGGTTTCTGTGCTTGTTACATTTGTACTGATTTTGTCTTTTGTGTTTTTGTTTCTGATTTATATTTTCTCTGCATTTGAATTCCCATTGGATTTGTTTACTTTTATTGTTATTTTGTTATCTCCAATCTTTTTCACTTTTTAGTACACTCTTATGTATAGGCAAAAAATTGATTTGCAGGAATATATTAATTTCTTTATATTATGATATTAAATTGTGCTTCTATTTTTATCGATAATGCAATTTCAAGATTTTATTGCTAATATATGTATGTGCAATCATGCTCTGATAAATAATGACATCTGTTTAATTTTATTGAAATATGTTCAGTTGGCTGCAAGGATAGCTGTTTCAAATCTTCATAAGAACACAAAGAAATTATTTTCTGAGACGTAAGTGCATTTTGCTGGATACAAATATGAACACACGGACACATGTTTCTCGGTATTGTAGCTCACAATTGGGGCTGTGTTACTTATTCTGTGAAGACTCTAATTTATGCAGGATCAAAGACATGTATAACCATGTCAGTGAGAGGTCGGGATTAAAGGCTTCTTTAATTGCTGATGATGTTTATGAGATTATTATGAAGGTATTTTCGCTTCCAGCTGGCCATGCATTCAACTCTGATATTTTAATCTGTTTCTTGCATAATGGTTGCAGATTCTGAGTTGATGCTGTTGATTTTGCATGTTCTGTTAACTTGTTGTTAATGCTATTTTAATTTCCTCTTTTTCAGAATTCTGCTCGTCTTGACAGTGAGATCATATACGACAGAGACTTTGAATATGATTACTTTGGTTTTAAAACCCTTGAGAGATCTTATTTCTTAAAGATCCAAGGGAAGATTGTGGAGAGGCCTCAACACATGTTGATGAGGGTTTCTGTTGGGATCCACAAGGATGATATTGATTCTGTTATTAAAACATACCATCTCTTGTCTCAGCGATGGTTTACTCATGCATCTCCTACACTTTTTAATGCTGGAACACCTAGGCCACAAGTATGTTCATAGATAAAGTTATTACGCCTATGCTTCCAGTTTTTTTTTTCCTCTGTATATCATTCGGAAGAAGTTTGAATTTTTGTGTTACCCTGATAGTTCACACGTCTGTTTCATGGCTTACAGATGAGCAGCTGCTTTTTGATATGCATGAAAGAGGATAGCATTGAGGGCATATATGATACACTGAAGGAGTGTGCTGTCATCAGCAAATCAGCCGGAGGAATTGGTGTCTCTGTGCATAACATCCGTGCAACTGGAAGTTATATTCGTGGAACAAATGGGAACTCCAATGGTGTTGTTCCAATGCTGAGAGTGTTCAATGATACAGCTCGATATGTGGATCAGGGGGGTGGCAAAAGGAAAGGTTTGCTATCATGCTTTGTTTTGTTTTATAGTACTAAATGCTTCGGTTAAACTCTATTTTGATTATTCTTTCCTTTCTATGATAGGTGCTTTTGCTGTGTATCTGGAGCCATGGCATGCTGATATCTTTGAGTTTCTTGATCTGAGGAAAAACCATGGGAAGGTATAGTATGAACTATATGCTTAGTAGCAACTGATGTAATGTTTTTGTCTTAGACATTGATAGAATCCTCATTCCTCGACTGGTAAATTTAGATGTGAGCTGCGCTTTTTTTTTTTGTATTTTGATCATTCTATGTTTATGGCCGCTTTTGTCCTCTATAGTATCCCAAAATTTATTAGAAGTTCAATTCAATTTAGCTAGTTGCAGTTAAATTACCGATTCAATTTAGTTAGTTGCAGTTAAATTACCTTCATAACATCAATTCTCACTTCTTTACGTCATTTTTCAGGAAGAACACCGTGCCAGAGATCTGTTTTATGCTCTTTGGGTGCCTGATTTATTTATGCAAAGAGTCCAATCCAATGGACAATGGTCGTTGTTTTGTCCAAATGAGGCTCCTGGGTTGGCCGATTGTTGGGGTGAACAGTTTGAGATTCTATACACCAAATATGAGAAACAGGTGCAACCAAAACTGTCATTTAGGTCATCATTAAGCGATATCACTGTTATGTGTTTTGATTTTTTGTTCTATGGACTCAGGGAAAAGCCAAGAAGGTTGTCCAGGCACAAAATTTATGGTTTGAAATCTTAAAATCTCAGATTGAAACTGGAACTCCTTATATGCTATATAAGGTGACCTAGACAAACATGCTATACTTGTTAATTATCTTAATTACCTTTTCTGCTAGCATTTATCCTTTTAGTGTTAACTTTATTTTTACTCTTCATTCACAGGACACTTGCAATAGAAAAAGCAACCAGCAGAATCTCGGCACCATTAAATCCTCCAACTTATGCACTGAGATAATTCAGTACTCAAGTCCTACTGAAACTGCTGTGTGCAATCTGGCGTCGATTGCTCTACCACGATTTGTTAGAGAGAAGGTATTATGTTACTGAAAGCCATTTCTCTTTCTACCCTGCACTTGTCCCATTTCAATTCATTTATTTTTTATTTCTTGCAGGGAGTGCCCATGGAAGCACAACCATCAAAGCTCGTTGGCAGCATAGGTTCAAAAAACCGATATTTTGATTTTGACAAACTGGCTGAGGTTTGATTTGTTTATTTCTTCTATCATTTGCCTTCAATAGTTTTAGTAGTTAAACATTTAAAGATTTCAGCTCTTGTGTCATGGTTTTGATGTTCAATTCTGTTTTACTTGTTCTGTGCAGGTTACAGCAGTTGTTACTGCAAACCTTAATAAGATAATAGATGTCAATTATTACCCCGTTGAAACTGCAGAAAGGTCTAATATACGACACAGACCGGTAGGAATTGGAGTGCAGGGTCTTGCTGACACTTTCATTTTGCTTGGCATGGCATTTGATTCTCCAGAGGTATAGCTGATATGCTATTCGATGTACATCATCCACAAAATTGGTGAATTGATTTGGTCTAATCACATCTAGTGTCAACTGCAGGCTCAACAGTTGAACAAGGATATATTTGAGACTATGTACTACCATGCTTTAAAAGCTTCATCTGAATTAGCTGCAAAAGAAGGTCCATACGAGACTTATGTTGGCAGTCCAATGAGCAAGGTATGTATTAAGGCAGCTGACAATCGGGAGTTTCACTGTCTTTGTCTTGATCTCCTCTTAGAGAGATTGATGGAATATCTATAAATCTCAGCTACTTGTCATTTAAAATGAGTAAAATCACTTAGCTAGTTGGAAGCCCGGTATAAATCATAATCCACTGGTAATATATAACAACTGGAGCGTTTACTAGAATTTTATCTCCCTGGTGATATTTGTTCTGGTTACCAATTTCTGATCATATTGCTTCTGTACCTTACAGGGAATTATCCAACCGGACATGTGGGGAGTAAAACCTTCAGATAGGTGGGATTGGGATGCTCTTCGGGCAATGATAGCAAAGAACGGAGTGAGAAATTCACTTCTTATAGCACCCATGCCCACTGCCTCAACCAGCCAGATTCTTGGGAATAATGAGTGCTTTGAGCCATATACCTCCAATATCTACAGTCGCAGAGTTCTAAGGTTTAGTTTGTTAATTTTATACGTCTCCATTTGCTTTAGGATATTGCTAACAATAATCTGATTTTTACATGCTGACCTTTTCAGTGGTGAGTTTGTTGTGGTGAACAAACATCTTCTTCATGACTTGACTGAGATGGGTCTTTGGTCTCCTGCTCTTAAGAACAATATAATATATGAGGATGGTTCTATTCAGAAAATTCCTGAGATTCCTGAAAAACTTAAAGTTATTTACAAGTATGGATTTAAAAGTTTAGGAGACATTTTCATTCTATTTATCTTCCTGGTTTTCCTATGCCAATATATTTAATTCTATCAGGACTGTTTGGGAGATCAAACAACGAGTATTGGTTGATATGGCTGTTGATCGTGGATGCTACATAGACCAGAGTCAAAGCCTTAACATCCACATGGACCAACCAAATTTTGGAAAGCTTACTTCCCTGCACTTCCATGCCTGGTCGAGGGTACACTAATTTATGATATATGTTTGATTTTTATGCTTTTCAACCAGACATTGGTTCTTTTGATGTTTATCTAGTTGTGGTTTCTACCAGAACGTCACATTTAATAGAACTGGGAATAACGAAATGGAGTGTGGATGTTGCATATTTGGAAATAATATCTGTGGCTTGATGATTTTGCATGTTTGTATTTGTTGTTTGATTTGGACTTCCCTGATTCTTGGTCCTCGTACTTTACTTGAAGGGTTTGAAGACAGGGATGTACTATCTAAGATCACGTGCAGCAGCAGATGCTATAAAATTTACAGTCGACACTTCCATGATAAAGGTAAACACTTTTGAATGGTGTGATAGTCTCATCTCAATCCGTTTACATTTATCTTAAAATTAATTATGGTTTTGTAATTTCATTGCAGGATGAGCCCAAGGCCACAGTTGATGATGAAAATACTAAAATGGTGCAGGTGGTATGCTCTCTAACTAACCGCGATGAGTGCCTGGCTTGTGGAAGTTAAGAGATCCATACACACAATGAGAAGTATTTTTTAACGTGTGATGTTTGCTAAAGATTCCTTCTCTATCGTGTGGTGTATGATGCCCAAGCATCATGGCTTTCCATGAGTTTAGTCGTCATATTGCTAATTCGTGAAGTTTGTCGCATTTATGACGAGTTGTATAGGTAATAGCTGGTTTACTTTTCATACATGGGAAATGAGTAATAGGTTGTGATTAATGTATTTTGGTTGAATGGATCTCTGCTGTATGTTTTTATCTGAAACAGGAATTAACCCAATTCCTGGAACTGTTTTTTTTTTTTT